TCTTCTTTTAGTATAATTATTAAAAGTTTATTTCGTAGCAGATTTAAATAACATCTAAATTTATTCTAGCTACAACATAAAAAGTCCATTTCAGCTTTGTAACGAATGCAACACACACATTAAATGTTGCAATTGAAGCAAGCAGCTTGTTGTCGGGAAATAGAAAATATTTAATTAAATGTGAATAATTTAAAAACGACAACTGCCACTTGCCACGCCACGCCAAGAACGTGACTGTCACAAAGGAGGTGCTGCAACAGAGGGGTGCAAGCAGGGGTGGGCCAAGGGTGGCTGCTATAGACGACTCCTTTTACTTCTTCCTCGTCGTCGTCGTCGTCAACATCTTTGGCATTTATTTTATTTGCGCATTTGTTCAATTTCTTCGCTCCGCCGCTCGCTGCGAGTAGTAAAAAAATAATGCCGCGGACTGCGGATAAGCATAAAAAGCGGCTCAATAGGCGTGGCACATTGGCAAGTGCAAGCCCATAAATTTTACGTATGTGCACAACAAACCCACCCACTGCCACTTACCCCTCAGCCACCAGCCCCCCTCGCTTGCATCAACTACACAAATAGAGCTCTTCGCAAGCAAAAAGCAACAAAAAAAATCAAAAAGGGGTTTTTACGAGCACTTCTTGTATTTGAATTGTTACTGTGGGGTGTGTGTGCATGCCAGGACGAGAAGGATGGGCTGGGAAGGGGCAGGGGCAGGGGGAGGGGGCAACCATGCCGTACACCGTAAACAATGACATTAGTGAAATGCTTCGCATATGCATTAAATATTTTTATTGTTCATGGCCCATATGAAAAGTAATTTCTGCTTTAGCATATTTTCAACATTTTAATGGCATTTTGCGCATTTCGCATAAATAAATAAGAACATCACAAAAAAGAGGGCAAAATAAGGGCCGAGGATGGGTTGGCGGGAATCCACTTAACAAGTTAGCCAAAGGAGAAAAGTATCTGAGAATTCTTGCAGTGGAAAGTGACAAACTGTTAGCATCAATCGAGCATTTTAAATACTAAATACAGTTCGCATTTAAATACAGTTATTAAAAAATTATATATTCTATTAGTTGGGAATTTAAACTAGCCAACAGCCAGTATAAAACAGTAGCTCCGATTCCCAGGCATGGATATAGCAACATATGTTGGGTATCTTGTGGAGGGAATTATAATTTTGTCGTGGAGTTTGTAACGCATTATTTGAATCGGATTACTATATCATAAAGCTGCCAACTATCGATAAATTCTTGTATAAAATACTTTTCTGGTTAACTACTTATCGAGATGACAAAACTCACCAGTGAAAGGGCATGCAATCTTCGGCTTGCCTAGAAAAGTCTTAAAGTCTCTAGGACTGGTCGTCCCACACATAAAACTGTCATTATTTTACCATAATTAAACTGATTGCGGCTAGTTTATTCTTGGCTTGTAGTTGTTGTAAATTCTACATGTAAAATTTATGCACATATCTCTCCATTAGTTTATTGTTCCCAGCTTTCATCAGAGTAAATTTCTTCGCATATTATTCATACCCGACTGACTCTCAAACTGTTTTATTGCTGGCAAACACGAGTCTATTCACACACACACACACACACACTCACATACATGTTTACACCCTCTCTGGAGAGCATTTGATTTCACAATTCTGTTGTGTGTTGGATTCGTAAACGTTCTGTTGACAGCGCTGCTTTAATGCCACCTGGGAATAATAATCCAATTTTGCAACAAAATTTTTCAAATTAAAAACAAAAATAGAGAGAATACAGTAACAATGAAAATGTGATTTATAGTTCTTATAAATCAAATAAAGCACAATAGCAATGAAAAAATTTGATAAAAAGTAACTTTCTTTAATAAGATTCCAGCGCATTCGGCAAAAGATTGATTAAGGCAAAAATGACAAAATGACAAAAGGATAATCAGCTTTTTCTGTACAAAGCCTCAAAATTAATATGTGTCATGTATGAAAGGCACTTTAATAAACAGCCTTTTCAGCTGCTGTCAGTCGTAAGACTTAAACTGATTTATCCGACTCAAAGGGAAGCCACAGGACATGACAAAGATGCAACAAAGATTAGACGAGTGGACTAAAGTCAAGTCAGAACAAACACTGATGCAGCACTAAATTTTCGGCTGGCTTTTGGCAGAGCTGACAACTTAATATTTAAGATAGACCCCCAAATCTGTGGCATGGACAATCAAATCAATTGGTTGACCCTCAAAGAGTCCAAGGCCAAGTGCAGGAGCCAAGCCAAACCAAGCACAAATTTATCAAATAATGCGCAGTCGAGCGAAACAAACTTACCCGTAACAAAAGAAGAAGAGAGAAAAAAGAAAGAAATAGTGGAAAAAAAAACACCTGCAGCTTCCCAATTGGCATGTCCGCACGGCCATAAATCGTGATAAATGAAGTGAGCTGCCAATGTTGCCAGCCTACTTATCAATGTTTGGCCAAACAACAAGCAGCGGAGAGTGACCAGTGGGGGGAATGAATAACCACCCGCACTATAACTTACAACATTTGGCAGGCAGCCAGCAGAGGCAAACAGATATACTCCAAAAAGAAGAAAAAAGTAAAACGAGACACACAAATTGGTGACTGTTGCTTTTTGAGTTTAACTTTTGTGTCTGTTTGCTTGGCCTGCATAGTGAGTGCTATAAAAAGAGAAATGAAATTGTTTAATTAAGGTGCTGTAAGCAAATTAACTGAGTGACAATTAAATAGAACAGTGCTTATTTAATTCTGTTTAAACATCTCTCTGCTTTTTCCTTTTTGTTTACCAGAAGTTGATTGATTAACAGTCGACATATTATTTACGTGCTGCTGTTATTGCATTCCACAGATCAGTGCTAGTGATGTGCTCAAAAGAGCTTAACAGTTTAATACAACAGTTAACATAATGTTATGTGCTGCTGAGATGAGGATCATGTTAAAGGTGTGTGGCTCTGCAAAGTGGGCAAACTGTAATTTTAAGTAGTTTATAGATGTGATAATGAAGATAAAGCCTGAAGTTTGAAGCTAAACGCTATAACTGCTAGGTAGTTCCAAGACAGCTACTTTCACATTATAGATATTAATGCACTTAAACTATTTAGCTTTTAACAGCACAATGCTAAATATTCATGCTAACAGTTAGCATAAGCTTAACATAATGCAAGATAGTTTATGGTTGAAGTGCTGCTATTTAAAGGAAAGTTTAGCTGTTAAAAAATTGTCATTTTGGTTTAAAAATCGATTTGTAATATTCTTGCAGATTTATCTTAAGCATCCTAGAAAAACAATCAGTGGCAGTCTGCTGAAGGGATATGCACACACACACACATACTGAGACACACGGACTAGAAGCACATCCTTGATTGCAGTTTGTTTTGCTGTTAGCTGTTGGCTGTTGGTAAATGCTGCGTATACGCAATTTGAGTTTCAGTTCGCTTTGCATGCATATGCAACAGCATCAAATGCTGCATAAATTATACGCCGCGTTGCATGTGGCACGTTGCACGCTGTCAGCTATATTGACTTTTTCATCCTCTATTTTTTTCATTACTTTTCTGTTGCCTGTGGTGCATAAATTCAAATTAAATAGCTGTGCTTTGTGGGTCGTCTGCAACATTTGCAACATCGATCAGTGGGTCAAAATTGCGACTACAAGTCTTAAGTAGCATTTTGTGGGTCACTTCACAGTTTCCACTTGCAACGGGGCTGCTTTGCTTGCTCGTGCCACCAAGCGACACCATAAATTTTAAATATTGTTGCATTTTGCCCGTCGGCGCTTTTTCGCCACTTTCTTTTATTATCTCTGTCAAACAAAACAGGTGAAGGGAGGTGGAAAAGGGACGAATTGTGTGTTGAAGGCACACAAAACATGGCTAATTATGAGTGATGAACATTTTTGAGCATTAGCGTCGCTTTTGTTAACATTGCGCCTTAAATTAAAAATAAATTGTGGCTGACAATTATCAAAATGCAAATTAATTTCTGCCTCTTCTTCTTAATCTGCTACTGTGCAAATATCACAGCTTAACAGAAGAGCCAAACAGAAAGAGGGAAATATTTTAAAGCTCTTACGATCGCAGCTGCTGAATAATTTCCCAATGAAATGCTCTCAATTGCATATTTCACACAACATAACAGGGGACACTTACACTGATCGAAGCTATGTTAAGCCAATAAAAAACCAGTGCTCTTTCTCTCTCTCTCGCTGTTAGAACTCAACTCTGCTCCCTTCGCCTTTCGCTTTTTTTTATTCTCTCTTCTGCTTACACATTGAATTGATTTACCATTTGTATTTCGCATTTCGCATTGACAATGAAATTGCCATCAAAGTCACGTGTTGGCAGCAACAACAACAAACAGCAACAACAACATCAATCGGCAGCTGCGAAATTCGCATGCAAATTGCCACTTGAGAAGAGCAGGCGGAAGACAAAATACAGATAAAGATAAAAGGCGATTGGGGAACGAGCAATAAATACAACAAAAAGTCATCAAACACAACACACGAAACATGTCAAGGCAAATACAAATAAGAATAACAAATAGAGGGGAAAAAAACTCTGTTGTTTGATTGCCAGGCACAACTGCTGCAATCACAAATAGCTGCCCTATCTGCGTTGATTTCTAGACATAGACAACAATCAACATTGACAACAATTGCATGCCAAAAATTATTCTCTATCTGTGCCACTTCTCCTTGCCCCTCCCCCTCTGGCTAACACGCATACCATTCTTTAACATTGAGCAAACTAATTACAGTGGCGCTTAGAAAAATATTTCTTACAGCAATTGGAATATTTCTTTTCAATGTGCAGCAAAGTCAATAATTTTAATTATTTTCAATATTGCACAATTTTAAATTGTAATTTTAACATATTAATACCTTTTAATGTACCCAATAACAAGGAGACAAATAATTCTCAAGCGTTCTCATTTTTCTAGCAGTCACTGTTAAGATTTACAGAGAACTAATTATGTAGGCATTTCACTCACTCACCTTTGTTGCTGTTGGGTCCGTTAGCCGTTTGCAGCGAGGACATTGGTATTGCCAGGCAATTCCTTCCCGTCACGGGCAGATCGAGATCCTGTGGTGGCTCGGAGCGGGGACATGGAGTGTAGGCAATTTTGCTGCCACGGCCCGGCGTTGGACTGACACGTGAGTGACGCCCGCCGCCGCCGGCTAAACGCTCGCTGGCCATGCTACTGGCGGGCGGGGGATGAGTGCGGAGTTGCCACTAATCCAAATATTGTAGGCACATGGCAAAAAAGGATTAGCTGAATTTACAAAAATGCAAAACACTTTGGGGTATTCGCTTCTATTGGCTACTGTTAGTAGAGGATGAGGCAGCGCTCTTTGTAGCTTTAACTGCACTTTAGTTGCACTTGCTCACTTCCTACTTGGCACGACATTCGCACGCTGCAACAAATAACACAAACACCAGCAGCCACCCAACAACAGCAACAACGACGACGTATAATAAACCCAAGTCAAGCGCGCGCGTGCAGCCAACTTGCTCCGTCAAAGTCCTGCCATCAACTGAACAGCAGCAGCAGCAACAGCAGCCGACATCCTCTCGTCTTGCGAGCCGAACAAAATGCAAAACAAAATGCAAAAGCAGAGCACAATTGCACGCCGCTCACCTCACACTCTCTCTATCTCTCGCTCTCTGCACCACTCACACTGCCAAATCACAACTTCAGCTGCCTCTCTCTTCTAACAACATCAGCTCCCCGCTCTTCGCTTTCATTGTAGCATCCGTCTGGGCCACTGCATTGCTGCATTGTTTTTGCTTTGGCTTTGCTGCTATGTAAAAGCTCTGACCGGGCGTGCATTGTGTGCTTTATTCATTCATAAAAATTGTGCGCACAGCGTTGCCAGAAAGCGGCAACTGTATGCAGTGTAGTAAAAGCTTAACGAAAGCTTTTATTGCGCTTGAGTTGAGAGCAGTCGCTGTTAAATAGTATATGTTAAACTAGCAGATGGAGTGCTTTGCTTATATGTAACACAAAAGCTCTAAAAAGTGCACACAAAAGTCGCAGGACTTTCGACAAACTTAAGCTCATAGATGGCGCCCTACAAAATGTTTGAAAGACTGAAAAAGTACAAAATTAACCCCAGCATGAAAAACTTGAAATTTTAGTTGTATATTCTGTTTTTTATTGGTTTTTCTTTGCCTGTTAAGTAGAATAGAATTGTTATTAAAATGGATTTTATTTGTTTGTTACTCTTTTTTGGTGTTCCAACTGCGTTTTTTATGTTTTTTTTTTTTTGGTTTATATGATTTGATTTGATTTTGTTTACGTTGTTTTTTGTGGTACAGTTAACTGATTTTTACCTTAATACTTTAGATAATGGAAATTGTTCTATTTTTACCTGCTGTTACATTTTTTCTGTGGTATAAATAGTTGTCTAGCTTTGTTTTGTTTTGTTTGGAAATTCATTAATAATTACAAAAGAAAATGTTTTTGTTTTTTTTTCTTGTTTTTAAGACTTGTCGTTTACAGCGCTTAGAAGTTACAGTTTACATAAGTTCAGTTGTTGTTGTTGTTTTTGTTTAATGGTATATTTTTGGAACATTTTTGTCTTGCCAAAAAGTTAAGAGAAAGTTTTTCTGTGTTGTTGTTGTTGTTGTTGTGTTTTCAGTGTTGTGTAGTGCCGTCTAAAGAAAAATTGTGTGTGTGTGTTGTAAAGCTTTATTTTTGTAAGTGTTGGAAGGTGTCTCGTGTCTTAGACATACTAAATATATATCATATATCATATACTCGTTATATATATTTTTTTTGTCAACATTTAGGATCTTTTCATAATCGATAAATGCTTAAAATTAACAGCTTATGCGCTGAATTTGTTTATTATGTATATATATATATGTGTATATATATTTTTCTTCTTCTTAAAATTCGATGACGTTGTTGTTAATTATTTCTCATTTTCTTTTTGCGCTCTGTAGCTGTGAAGAAAATTCAAACAATTTTTGCAGTCCACAAAAATCTTGCAAAAAACCCAGAAATCTTTCAGAATGACACTGTATATGTATATGTATGTGTGTGTGTGAGTGTGTGTGGGTGTGTGTGAGTGTGTGCAGTGTTGTGCAACGATCTGGCATATTAAAAAATTATACATGAATTTCGACTGACAAGGCAAAAACGTCTCGAAAAATGTTGCATACTTTTAGGTTAAAATTTTTAAATTCTTAATTTAATCGAGACCTATTTAAACTGAAACTTCATAAACTTTAACAGTTGCTCTCATTGTTATTCATATTTAATATTTTTTGTAATTATTATATATGCCTTGAAAAATACTTACTTAAAACTTACTTTATTTGATTAAATTAAAACAATAAATGCTGTTTCAAATTCCATTTAAAGTTGTGTTGAAATTGCCAAAAATACTATTTGAAATACTCTTTTACAAGTTTCATTAAAATGCAAATCGGTGTTTTTTTTTGTTTTTATTTTAAATTTACACTTTTTTTTTGGTTTTTTGATTTGGTGCGACAACATTTGAAGTTGTCAGCATTCAGATGCACTCATTCACATTCACTCATCACATTCACGAACATTCACAATTACCAATTGCTCAAGTGGAGATTCCAAATTAGAAATCGAAAAAGCCAAAAACGAAACAATTTCGGTCGTGATTCTAAACACCAAATATGGGATATGTATATATATATATATGGTGGAACGTGCGGAATTGAAACGTTTCGGACTTTTACGAAGCTTGAATGGAATCTAAAACAGCATCGAAACTTAAATTGCAAAAACAAAAGTATTTTTTATACTTGAAACAATTGAAAATTAGCCAGCATCGATTTGGTTGTTCGCCTCTATATATATATATATGTTTGTTCCAATTTCCACGATGTAAATATTTCCTTATGCACTTAAATATATAGTTTTCCTATATTTGTTTTTCAAGGCCTACAATTGCTTTTCAATTAATTCCAATTTATTTTCTTAATATGCACATTTAGAGGGTTTAAAGCACACACAACATCAATATCCGGTATTATATGTTTAACACTGTTACTTCAGATATATATATATATATATGTGTATATCGAGTTATCGATTATTATTTGTTAGACATCCATTTAGTGCAATTTTCCTATGTACAACAATCGAAAAATACATCCAATTTCTGAAGAATTCAAATTGTTCTTTAAGTTATTATGATTCTCTAGGTGCTTTTTTATAAATACGAACTTGCCTGCTAATTGTTTTCTCAATTTTTTTCAGTATAGGTACATTTGGTTATTATTTAGGCGTATTTTATATGGGTATATGGATAACATTCATATTATTTGTTTGTATAGACATTAAAAATATTTTCGCAGCAATTTCAATTGTTATACATTATTAATTTTCTTGTTTTGATACTGAAAACATTGTTATAGGTGGTTGTTTTTTTTCTTTCTTGTTTAGGTCGATATTGATATCGATTTTTATCGATATAGCTAATTGTTATAGAATGCGTAGCGGAGCGATCCCCTAGATTCAGATCCAGTTTAGGGTTAAGGCTATACTTGACTTATGGAGCTCGTCGGACGTCGGTTAGAAAGAAGAAGAAATGCGTGAAGAATGGTGAAAAGTGGTGAATAAATTTTCGGGCCGAATCGGAAACTGTAGTGTTGTCTTGTAAAAGTCTGTAACAAATAGCCAATCCCAAAAATGTTCCAAAAACATAGATAACAGAAATAAGAAAACAATTTATAAGTTTTTTTTTGTTTCGAGGTTTTTAAAATGTTTGTGTATTTTTTCAAGAAATTTTTGTTTGCCTGCTTTTTGGTTGTTGTTTATCAATCTTTTACATCATATTCATATATATATATATATATATATAGATATATATAAATATATATATATAGAGATATAGATGTGTGTTGGAGTTAGGCATACATATATATATATAGGTCTATATATATGCCTGGAAATATTGTTTAATCTGTGGTAGCTGTGTGTGTTTTTTTCTTTTCTTTTTCTCTCTGCTGCAATTTGTTTAACAAATTTTGTTTTGTGTCTTCGCTTTTGTTTAACGCATTTTTGCTTTGCAAATGAGAATATAAATATTTAACACAATTTTTTTTGTTATTTTGTGATTTTTGCATTTTGCTGTTGTTTTTCCACTTTTTAGCTACAAATTTCAATGGTTTATGGTTTATTCAATGCCAACACTTTCCGGACAACTTCCTTTAGCTTTATTCCTCTTCTTATGATTTTTGTTAACTTTTTCTTTCTTGTTTTTAGCGATTTGCAATGGAAATTTCAAATCGAGAGGGTTGCCAGATCGTTCGAATTCGCATTCAAGCCATACAAACAAACAATTCGGGCTCACAAAAGAATTTTGTGGATTACGTTTTTAGTTAGAAAAATTCGTGTTTTGTTTTTTGTTTTTGGTTTTGTTAATTAAAGTTAAATTTTTGTTAGTTTAGAGTTTTTATTTAGAGAGACCTTTTTGCTTGTCTGATCAATATATATATATATATATAACTTGCATTATAGTTTAAATCTGGTTTTTAAAACTTGCACAAATTTCGCTACAAAATGTTTTTGTTTCGTTTTTTTTTTTTGTTATTTGTTTGTTGTTTAAAAAAAGTTATAGAAAAGTTGATTTTGTCGTGTTGTTGTTTGGTTTTTTGTTTTGTTCTCGGAACGCAGTGTTTTTGTTATCTCTTTCGTTCCAAGGATCAAGCAAACAATAAATTAAATATATATTTATATATATATATATAATAATTAATTTATCATATAATAAGTATAAATGTATTCCACCCGAACTTACAAACATTATCAATATAGTATTTATTATATGTATATATATATATACTCACAGTTGATTTTTAATGCAGTGGAGAAGAAGAGTGTAACGAAAGAGTGTGGCAAATGTGCTGTGGTGTGTACTGTAGTGTGGTGAGTTCTTGTGTGTGGTGTGTTCTGATGTGTGTTTGTGTGTGGATAGTTATAGAAGACGTTCAACAAGAGCAACAATAGCTGAGACGTGGGGGCGGGGGGGAGGAAGTTAGGGGGAAAAGTAAGCAAAGTGTGTTTAGAGAGAGAAGAAAAAGGAAACATGGAAACAACGTTTTTCGATATGAAACTAAATTAAAAATGTGTTCTAGTTGATTACTGCCATCTAGGTTAGATCCGGCTTATGCGCATCGACGTTGGGCACCGAGTTTTTGGCTGGGTTTCTCTTTCAAGTACAGTGCAGTTTCTCAGTTTGCTCACTTTTTTCATATATATCTTTAATATCTTTTTAGCATGCGTTTCTAAATATTTTTCGTTCGTGTATTGCTTGGCTCGCTGTTGATCAGCTTGAACCACTTCTTAAACTTAAACCAAATAGAAATATAGCATATACATATATTATTATATAGGTACACATACACATATAATAATATATATATACTACTTTTTTTTTTGTTTTTTTCTCTGTTGCTTATTAAGTATTTGCGACAATTTGTCTTTGTTTTTGCTTTTTTGCTTGTTGCTGTCTAGTTCATAATAATAA